GAACTAAACTAGGACTAAACCAGTTTAAACCAGGACTAAAACTAGGACTAAACCAGGTCTAAACCAGGACTAAACCAAGAACTAAACCAGAACTAAACTAGGACTAAACCAGTTCTAAACCAGGACTAAACTAGGACTAAACCAGAGCTGAACCAGGATTAAACCAGGACTAAACCAAGAACTAAACCAGGACTAAACTAGGACTAAACCAAGAACTAAACCAGGACTAAACTAGGACTAAACCAGGTCTAAACCAGTTCTAAACCAGGATTAAACCAGGACTAAACTAGGACTAAACCAGTTCTAAACCAGGACTAAACTAGGACTAAACCAGAGCTGAACCAGGACTGAACCAGGTCTAAACCAGGACCAAACCAGCACCAATCTTGGACAAATTGCACAAACTCACTCGTGCACAACCCAACGTCTCGTACCAAAACGATTTGGCACGAACACATGAACCATTACACCGCACTAATATTTATATTTTTTGGTGTGAGCAACTGTGTCTAAATAATTTCGCGTGTGGATCAATGAAGTTTGTCTAAGTCTAAATTTAAGAGGACTTTGAACCAGATGCCCTTCCTGTTACTGCGTTTTTGAGGAAGAAAAGAAAAGCGGCACATGGAGAGTGTTGTTTCTGCATGTACAGTTCTGATGTTCACTGTGATTCTGTTCTGCTCCGTTATTGTATTAGAGATGAATAAGAGCTTTAAGTCTATTTACACACGTCCGACACAGAGTCGATGATCATAATGTAAACAAGTGTTACTCCTGTGTCCACGGAGACCAGAGCGTCTTCACTGACCAGCCCCAAACTGTCTCTGTGTGACAGATAATACTCCCTACAACTGTACAGCAACTCACACTTATGTAACAGATAATACTCCCTACAACTGTACAGCAACTCACCTTTATGTGACAGATAATACTCCCTACAACTGTACAGCAACTCACCCTTATGTAACAGATAATACTCCTACAACTGTACACCAAGAGATAATACTCCCTACAACTGTAACAACTCACCTTTATGTGACAGATAATACTCCCTACAACTGTGCAAACAACTCACCCTTATGTAACAGATAATACTCCTACAACTGTAAACAACTTACCTTTATGTGACAAATAATACTCCCTACAACTGTACACAACTCACCTTTATGTGACAGATAATACTCCCTACAACTGTGCAACAACTCACCTTTATGTGACAGATAATACTCCCTACAACTGTTAAACAACTTACCTTTATGTGACAAATAATACTCCCTACAACTGTACATCAACTCACCTTTATGTGACAGATAATACTCCCTACAACTGTACAACAACTCACCTTTATGTGACAGATAATACTCCCTACAACTGTGCAACAACTCACCTTTATGTGACAGATAATACTCCCTACAACTGTGCAACAACTCACCTTTATGTGACAGATAATACTCCCTACAACTGTGCAACAACTCACCTTTATGTGACAGATAATACTCCCTACAACTGTGCAACAACTCACCTTTATGTGACAGATAATACTCCCTACAACTGTGCAACAACTCACCTTTATGTGACAGATAATACTCCCTACAACTGTACAATCAACTCACTCTTATGTAACAGATAATACTCCCTACAACTGTACACCAACAGATAATACTCCCTACAACTGTACAGCAACTCACCTTTATGTAACAGATAATACTCCCTACAACTGTGCAACAACTCACCTTTATGTGACAGATAATACTCCCTACAACTGTTAAACAACTTACCTTTATGTGACAAATAATACTCCCTACAACTGTACAGCAACTCACCTTTATGTGACAGATAATACTCCCTACAACTGTGCAACAAACTCACCTTTATGTGACAGATAATACTCCCTACAACTGTGCAACAACTCACCTTTATGTGACAGATAATACTCCCTACAACTGTGCAACAACTCACCTTTATGTGACAGATAATACTCCTAAACTGTACAACAACTCACTTTATGTACAGATAATACTCCCTACAACTGTACAACTCACATGTGACAGATAATACTCCCTACAACTGTACAGCAACTCACCTTTATGTGACAGATAATACTCCCTACAACTGTGCAACAACTCACCTTTATGTGACAGATAATACTCCCTACAACTGTACAGCAACTCACCTTTATGTAACAGATAATACTCCCTACAACTGTGCAACAACTCACCTTTATGTGACAGATAATACTCCCTACAACTGTGCAACAACTCACCTTTATGTGACAGATAATACTCCCTACAACTGTGCAACAACTCACCTTTATGTGACAGATAATACTCCCTACAACTGTGCAACAACTCACCTTTATGTGACAGATAATACTCCCTACAACTGTACATCAACTCACTCTTATGTAACAGATAATACTCCCTACAACTGTACACCAACAGATAATACTCCCTACAACTGTACAGCAACTCACCTTTATGTAACAGATAATACTCCCTACAACTGTACAACTCACCCTTACCTAACAGATAATACTCCCTACAACTGTACATCAACTCACCCTTATGTAACAGATAATACTCCCTACAACTGTACAACTCACCCATACCTAACAGATAATACTCCCTACAACTGTACAACAACAGATAATACTCCCTACAACTGTACATCAACTCACTCTTATGTAACAGATAATACTCCCTACAACTGTACAACTCACCCTTACCTAACAGATAATACTCCCTACAACTGTACATCAACTCACTCTTATGTAACAGATAATACTCCCTACAACTGTACAACAAAAATAAACTTTGGTCCAGTTTACAAACTGAATTTCTCTTTTACCAAACCCTAATTTGTCATTTTTGGCATAATAAAGGACCTTTAATGTAAGTTTTGCAATTTTTTGTTTGTTTTTTTTGTTTTTTTATGGAAATTGTAATAAATATTTCAAATAGTTTTATGTTTTACTGAGATGAGCTGCACATGTGACATTCTAACACTTTTCTGTCCTGCTTCGTTCTGAACGCTCTGAGGCACAGACGTAAACTGCAGTGTAGAAAAATAAAACACGAGCCGAACTTTCCTTTACTACTGGGCTGTTTACACGGCGCTTGTGGTGGTCCTCGCTCATCAATGAGTGGGCAAAATTGGAGACGGGAGCCAGTCAGTTTGTGGAACTTTATAATTGACGCGCGACCAAACCAATGGACGCGGCGCGGATGGGACTCTCCTGTTTCTAGTGGAGCGGCTCCGGTCCGGCCCTCTCCTCACGCACCAATGACGCGCGGCTCACGGTGAGTGCCGGGCCCGGTAATACTCCCTACAACTGTACAACAACAGATAATACTCCCTACAACTGTACAACAACAGATAATACTCCCTACAACTGTACAGAAACTCACCTTCATGTAACAGATAATACTCCCTACAATGTACATAACTCACCATGTAAAGATAATACTCCCTACAACTGTACAGCAACTCACCCTTACGTAACAGATAATACTCCCTACAACTGTACAACAACAGATAATACTCCCTACAACTGTACAGCAACTCACCTTTATGTAACAGATAATACTCCCTACAACTGTACAACTCACCCTTACCTAACAGATAATACTCCCTACAACTGTACATCAACTCACTCTTATGTAACAGATAATACTCCCTACAACTGTACACCAACAGATAATACTCCCTAACAACTGTACAACAAACAGATAATACTCCCTACAACTGTACAACAACAGATAATACTTCGTACAACTGTACAACAGATAATACTCCCTACAACTGTACATCAACTCACTCTTATGTAACAGATAATACTCCCTACAACTGTACACCAACAGATAATACTCCCTACAACTGTACACCAACAGATAATACTCCCTACAACTGTACAGCAACTCACCCTTATGTAACAGATAATACTCCCTACAACTGTACACCAACAGATAATACTCCCTACAACTGTACAAAACAGAATAATACTCCCTACAACTGTACAACAACAGATAATACTCCCTACAACTGTACAACAGATAATACTCCCTACAACTGTACATCAAACTCACTCTTATGTAACAGATAATACTCCCTACAACTGTAAACCAACAGATAATACTCCCTACAACTGTAAACCAACAGATAATACTCCCTACAACTGTACAACAACTCACCCTTATGTAACAGATAATACTCCCTACAACTGTACAACAACTCACCCTTATGTAACAGATAATACTCCCTACAACTGTACAACACAGATAATACTTCCTACAACTGTACAACAACTCACTCTTATGTAACAGATAATACTCCCTACAACTGTACAACAACTCACTCTTATGTAGCAGATAATACTCCCTACAACTGTACAACAAAAATAAATAATAAAAATAAACTTTGGTCCAGTTTACAAACTGAATTTCTCTTTTACCAAAGCCTAATTTGTCATTTTTGGTGTAATAAAGGACCTTTAATGTAAGTTTTGCAATTTTTTGTTTGTTTGTTTGTTTTTTGTTTTTTATGGAAATTGTAATAAATATTTAAATAGTTTTATGTTTTACTGAGATGAGCTGCACATGTGACATTCTAACACTTTTCTGTCCTGCTTCGTTCTGAACGCTCTGAGGCACAGACGTAAACTGCAGTGTAGAAAATAAAACACGAGCCGAACTTTCCTTTACTACTGGGCTGTTTACACGGCGCTTGTGGTGGTCCTCGCTCATCAATGAGTGGGCAAAATTGGAGACGGGAGCCAGTCAGTTTGTGGAACTTTATAATTGACGCGCGACCAAACCAATGGACGCGGCGCGGATGGGACTCTCCTGTTTCTAGTGGAGCGGCTCCGGGTCCGGCCCTCTCCTCACGCACCAATGACGCGCGGCTCACGGTGAGTGTCAGGCCCGGGGACCAGTGGGAGGCCGGTGTGTGCGGGCGGGCGGGTCTGCGCGCGGAGGGGCGGCGCGCTGGAGGTCATTCAGTCCCTCTCTGATTCACTCTATCGCGTGTTTGAGGGGACGGGTAGTTGGAGTAAGGAGTCGCCGGGTGGTAGCGCATCACTACGCCTTTTCCAGACAAACAACGTCAAGTCAAGACTCAAGAGACGACTCCCGGCGACAACTTCTGTGAGACTAAACCACGCCACAACTGCGCCACAGTCAGGGCACATTCTCCAAACGCCGCCGCGCTGCCGTCTGTCTCCACTAGCCACTTAGCATCCTTCAGCTGAGGATCAAGGTGTTGTGAGCAGCTAGCCTCCCAGCTAATCACCCAGCAGCTCTTGCGCGGCGTGCCCTAGCGTCTGTAGCTCGGTGGATGCTCGGGCGTTCCTCGGCGGATCTCGTCCCCGTCCAGACCCACCGCGGAGCCCCCGGCGCGCCTGGACACGGCGTGTGCGTCGCGTTAGTTGACACCATCACACCCATCTCCCCAACCCCTTCACCTCTGCCCCTGCCCCTCCACCCGAAACACTGGAAATCCACAAGCGGCCGGAGAACGGCGAAGGGCCGGGGAAGCTGGGGGTGGCAGCGCTACCGGACCCGCACGGAGTCGGCTCGGTCCCGGAGAAGCACGGCCGCGCGGAGACACCGACAGGCATGGACGGGCTGGCTGTGGAAGTGCGCGGCTCCAACGGGGCCTTCTACAAGGTAACCTGCCCACAGTCGCGCTTTTATTTACGCACAGCTAAAGTGGAGTTCGCGGTGAAAGCGTGAACCGTGTGTCATGCGGGAGACGCGGCGGGAGGAGGGTGGGGAGCCCGGCTCTGCCCCGGGACTGTGCGCCGCGGCGGTGCGTTCTTCTTTGGCCGTGGAGGGTGTTAGCTTCAGTTAGCTCGGAGCTAGCAGCACTTCTCATCCCCGGTCTGTTGCGTATATTTAATATTTCTCGCAGCGTGGTGTCGTACGAGGGTGAGTTTAGTGAGAAAGGCTCGTGTTTGTGTTGTTTGTGCTTCTGTGGACTGTGTGGCGCGGGGCTTTGTCTGGGTCTGGAGCGGGGCTTTGGGCAGCAGCTGTGAGACAGTCCCTGGTCTGTGTCTCTGCCTCTGCCTCTGCGCACACACACTCTTCATGAGCTGCTCAATCACGGCTCCAGGCTCATTGTTAGACCTGTGTCCCCGCTGCTGTGGCCCCTCTCCCCCTTACCTCGCTCCCACCTCCAGCATCTTTTTTAGTTTGCCCAGACTCCACCAGGACCAGCTTCTCTCTTCTCTCTGCACACTTTCAGTTTCCTTTCAGTGAAAGCGTTACTCTCACAAACACAAACACACTGAGAGCAGAACACTGAGGGCTGGGTCAACACCAGTGTTGGGGAGGTTGATTTTAAAATGTAATCCCCTACAAATTACAGATTAAAGACCTCAAAATGTAGTTTGTAACATAATCCATTAAATTACTTAAAGTTAGTAATGTAATCTGAATACTTTGGATTACTTGATTTGCTGTAGAGAAACAAAGACGAGGAAATCTTCACATAAGATGTTTTGTCTGATAAAAGAAAATAAAAAGCCCAGACTTTACTGAACCAAATTAAAAATATTATTGATAGAAGAGGAGGAAACATGTCCACACATGTTTTAGTCCTGGTTTAGTCCTGGGTTTAAACCTGTTTTAGACCTGTTTTAGTCCTGGTTTAAACCTGGTTTAAACCTGGTTTTAGACCTGGTTTAGACCTGGTTTAGACCTGGTTTAGACCTGGTTTAGACCGGTTTTAGACCTGGTTTAGACCGGTTTTAGTCCTGGTTTAGACCAGTTTTTAGTCCTGGTTTAGACCAGTTTTAGTCCTGGTTTAGACCAGTTTTAGTCCTGGTTTAGACCAGTTTTAGTCCTGGTTTAGACCAGTTTTAGTCCTGGTTTAGACCAGTTTTAGTCCTGGTTTAGACCAGGGTTTAGTTTTGTTTTAGTCCTGGTTTAATTTCTGGCAATAAGTAGAATTACCGAGAAGGAAAAAAAAACAAGCCCAAAATGTGAAAACAAGAAAATCCCGCCGTGTAATCCATTTATTTCAACAAAGTAACTGTAATCCAATTCCCACTCACTGAAACAGTAACTGTAACCGAATACAGTTACTCATCATTTGTACTCTGATTACATAACTCCAGTACATGTAATCTGTTACTCCCCAACACTGGTCATCACTTCACATTTACACATGAGTCTTCTCGAGTCTAAAGTTGCGTTCGTGTTTATCGTAATGTGGTTTCGCTCGACTTTTAAAAGGCTCCTTATCGAATGATCCGCTCTGACCGGGACCTGACTCGCTTCCACGCGCTGCTCGTATCGTAAAGTGACCCGGTGCCGCCCGCTTTAACTCTGTAATTGTGTGTTTGATCCAGTTTGCAGCAGCGTGTGTGTCTTCGGTCGGAGCTGCCACATGGCGGGGTTACAGAGAGGCCTATATTTACCCCCGCGCCCGCTCACCTGTCGCGCCGGTTTACAGGGTGACACTTGCCCTGGCCTCGACGGACACTTTCCACTCCTCTGTTACGTCCATTATCTCGCAGGGGCCCCGGTGGCGGACACGACACCTCAAACGTTCTTCGAAAATAGTGCAGATAACATAGTGTGAAGTGCCCGGCTGTGGTTCTGTGTACCTCAATTAACCCGCTCGCTTTTCTGAGAGACGAGAAGTTATCGTTGGGAAACACGGATCGTCTTGGGGTTTTTCCATCCAGCTACGATTTACAGATTCGTTCCCAAAGTTTAGTGCTCAAAAACAACCAGCTTTAGTCCAAATTTGTTTGTTATTTTCGTCCAAATTTAGTGTTTCACATTTAGTTTGAATAGGACAAAATGTGACGGACAAAAAAATGAGAGAAACTAAATCAGATCTGAAAGAGCAGCAAGAAACTCACCGTGGAGAGAGTAACCAAAACTTTTACTCAATTAAAAGTACTGTTACTTCAAATAATATTACTTAAGTAGAAGTTCAAGGTAGCGGTACAAGAAAGTCTCAAGTAAGAGTAACTTAAAGTGCAACTGTCTTGATTTATAATTTTAAAGTTAATATATTTGAAAGGACAAAATCTGGTGTTTTTTTTCTAAGGACAAACATAAAAATGAAATAAATTAAATCAAATCTGGAGGAGCTGCAAGAAACACAAATGTTCAAATCATTTCATATCGTTGACATAGTTTTTATAACCAAAAACAAACTTTTACTCAACTAAGAGTACTGTTACTTCAAATAATATTACTTAAGTAGAAATTCAAAGTAACGGTACAAGAAAGTCTACGTAAAAGTTTATTTTTGGTTACAAAAACTATGTTGATGATATGAAATGATTTGAACATTTGTGTTTCTTGCAGCTCCTCCAGATTTGATTTAATTTGTCTCATTTTTGTGTTTATCCGTAGAAAAAAAACAACAGATTTGGTCAAATATATTAACTTTAAAATGATAAAATCAAGACTGTTCAAATAATTTCATATCATTGACATAGTTTTTGTAACCAAAAACAAACTTTTACTCAAGTAAGAGTACTGTTACTTCAAATAATATTAAGTAGAAATTCAAAGTAACGGTACAAGAAAGTCTGATGTAAGAGTAACTTAAAAAGTAAATTATAAATGAACAGGACATCCCGGCAGTTAAAGTTTAATATATTTGAAAAAACAAAATCTGGTATTTTCTAAAAACAAACGCAAAAATGAGACAAAGTAAATCCGATTTGAAGGAGCTGCAAAAAACAAAAATGTTCAAATTATATCTTAATGTCGACTTTTGTCACTTTAGACTCACCGTGAAAAGAGAAACCAAAACTTTTACTCGACTAAGAGTACTGTTACTTCAATACAAATATTACTCGAGTAGGACTAAAAGTATTCTGAAAAGTACAATTTCCCTCAAAGGTTACTCAAGTAAATGTAACTATTACTCACCAAAACAAAATACAGTAAATTGTAAATCATTAAAATGCAAAAAAAAGTGTCATGTTTTTGTTTTTGCAATTGGCGCGTTAATGTTTTCGGAATAGTTTTTTTTTTTTTGGTAAATCTAACCGTAAATTGAAATAATTTAATCATTCATTCATTCATTTTTTTGTATTTAATCGTATTTATTTATACAGGGGGAAACTCTGAGGAAAAACTCCCACTTTTTTGTGACTCATGAGTGTTTAAGTGAAATGGAAAATTCAGTTTACTGTATTAATGCCACTGCACCTAAAATTAAATGTAGTAGTGGTAGTATTTGTAGTAGTAGTATTGTTAGTAGTAGTAGTAGTATTGTTGGTAGTAGTGGTGGTATTGATGGTGGTAGTGGTAGTAGTAGTAGTAGTGGTGGTGGTGGTGGTGGTAGTAGTAGTAGTAGTAGTATTAGTAGTAGTAGTAGTTGGTAGTAGTAGTAGTAGTAGTAGTAGTAGTAGTAGTGGTATTGGTGGTGGTAGTAGTAGTAGTAGTAGTAGTATCGGTGGTGGTAGTAGTAGTAGTAGTAGTAGTAGTATCGGTGGTGGTAGTAGTAGTAGTAGTAGTAGTGGTAGTATTGGTGGTAGTGGTAGTATTGGTGGTAGTGGTAGTAGTAGTAGTATTGGTAGTAGTGGTATTGATAGTGGTAGTAGTAGTATTGGTAGTAGTATTGGTAGTAGTAGTGGTATTGATGGTGGTAGTAGTAGTATTGGTATTCGTGGTAGTAGTATTGGTGGATGTGGTGGTGGTAGTAGTAGTAGTAGTAGTAGTAGTACGCACACTTGTACACTCGACTTTAGTCCAAATTAGTTTATTATTTTGGTCTAACTTTAGTGTTTTACATTTAATTTAGACAAAGTTTGAATAGTAAATTAAAAAAATATTTCCTTTTTTATCAGAAATAATTGAAATTTTGTTTAAGTCATGTTTTGAAAATCACAATAGTCTGCAATGAAAAATGTACGTGAATTTGACGATACGATACACATCACGATACGCCTGTCACGATTCAATATATCCTGATACTCAAACAAATGATGATATAATGTGACTTTTCAATAATTATGTGTAATATTTTGGTCAAGTAACATTCACAAGAACAAAACTGATTGAAAAAACCCCCGATTAAGACATTTTGAATCGATAAATCCAATAAAATTCCTTTATTGTCATCGTCAAATAAAATAAAAACCAAATTATGTTAGAGCAACTTACAGACTGTGTACTATTTTAAAAGATGTAATAATCTCGCAGTGAAGTATCGCGATATATCACTGAATCGATATTTTCTTACACCCGTACGGTCAGGTCTATTGTTAGTTGTTTACTTGTTGCCTTCGTGTGGATTTCTTAATCCTATTGGAATTGTTCTCACTAACCTGATCTCATAGTCCCCGCTGATTTTAACTTTCACTTCAAGAAACTTAAGGGAAGAATGACATTTTTGAAACTATAATAAGGCTGAATGATTTAGGGAACTAAAATAGCATTTTTTTTGTGTGTGTGACAATCTTAGATTCAGATTCAGATTTAGATTCAGATTTGGATTCAGATTTGGATTCAGATTTGGACTCAGATTTGGACTCAGATTTGGACTCAGATTTGGACTCTGATTTGGACTCTGATTTGGACTCTGATTTGGACTCTGATTTGGACTCGGATTTGGACTCGGATTTGGACTCGGATTTAGACTCGGATTGAGGCTCGGATTGAGGCTCAGGTTTAGATTTAGACTTAGGCTCGGG